AAAGCCTGACCTCCCTACAGCGGTATGCACATGATGATGACCCTAGGACATGCGTCTAGGATGAACATGATGAATTGAATGCATTGATTGAAGAAAGAAGTTAAATTTAACGCATACATATGGGTTTGATTACAATTTGTTCAACATGATGGCCTTAGGTTCAGAACTGGCTGATAATCGATTGTCTACTGCTGATAATCGATTATCATGCTATGCAGCTTCTGCCCCCAAAGTCTCGTAGACTGTGATAGTCGATTGTCACCCTATGACAATCGATTGTCAAGTTGGTTTGTTCAGAAAGTCCTACGTTCAGAGAGCCCTGATAATCGATTATTGCCTATGTGATAATCGATTATCAGGTGAACCAGCTCTGACTCAAGAATCCGCAGGGCCTGATAATCGATTACCACTTATGTGATAATCGATTGTCACACTATGCTGGATCAACTGAAGAGTTCAGCGTGACCTGATAGTCGATTATTCCGTTTTGTAAATCGATTACCAAGGCACGCTGATTCCCATTTTGACTGTTTGGTTATCATCAATACGTTAGGAGTTTTTTTTTGAAACGAACGTTTATGATTACATGTTAAGTATTCCGTGAATATACGAAGTTTCAAAATGCTTGTATTAACGAGTTCGTAACTTGATAACACAGACTCACGTATGTTGGATGGTTAACCTACGAACATGCATAGTTTGCTACGTAGGTTGCGTACGATATTCCTATGAATATAACAACATAGATTATGACTTGATGTTCTAGAATTAGAGGGACAACTACTCACCTCTAATGAAGGGATTGACGGAACGATGGAACAAGATGAACGAACGGTTTTCAACGTTGAACGACGAATGTAAAAGTGGACATCGATGTTGAAAGTGGGACATCGCTGTTTGAAAAGTTTCTGGTTTTGGTTGAAAACAAGGTGTTTTGGGTAGACAGCGATGTTTTAAGAAGGAACATCGATGTTCAAAAAGTTTCTGAAAAGTGAAGAGTAAGGGACTCCCTGGGACAGCGCTGTTGGCGTGTTGTACAGCGCTGTTGGCACAAACTGGTTGACGGTGTTTCTCTCAACAGCGCTGTTGGGTCTCTTGGACAGCGCTGTTTGCATGGTTCCCCCTGATTTTTTGAACGGGGTACCTGCAAAAAAAAAAAATAAATTCTCCGACGCTCAAGTTAGTAAACGTTTAACAAGTTTAGATGCACAACTTAGATCATTGTGGAGTCAAGGATTCCGAGTTCACTTCGAATGCGAAAGAACGACTCTTTCTCTAGAGGTTTTGTGAAAATGTCGGCTAATTGATTGTGTGTTTCAACAAACTCAATTTCGAGATCACCTTTGAGAACATGATCTCTAATGAAATGATGCCTAATGTCAATGTGTTTCGTCCTTGAATGAAGAACGGGGTTCTTCGTCAAGCTTATGGCGCTAGTATTATCACAACGAAGAGGAACGTGATTGATACTAAGGCCATAGTCCACGAGTTGTTGCTTCATCCAAAGGATTTGAGCACAAAAACTACCGGCGGCTACATATTCCGCTTCGGTTGTGGATAATGCAACACTGACTTGTTTCTTACTAAACCATGAGACTAGAGAGCTACCAAGTAAGTGGCAAGTCCCACTCGTGCTTTTACGGTCCAATTTGCAACCGGCAAAGTCCGAGTCGGAATAACCAGCGAGATGACACGAAGAGCCTTTTGGATACCACAGTCCAACGTTAACCGTGCCAACAAGGTATTTCATGATCCGTTTCACCACTGTTAAGTGCGATTCCTTCGGACATGATTGATACCTTGCGCAAAGGCATACGCTAAACATGATATCCGGCCTACTAGCGGTAAGATAGAGAAGGGATCCGATCATACCTCGATACTTTTTGAATTCTACTTCCTTACCTTTCTCGTCTTTGTCTAGATGGTCGGACGTGCTCATCGGGGTTGCCATGGCTTTGGTGTTGTCCATTTCAAACCGTTTTAGGAGCTCCTTGCAATATTTAGTTTGACAAATGAACGTGCCATCATTCATTTGCTTGACTTGGAGTCCCAAAAAGAATGTGAGCTCACCCATCATTGACATTTCGAACTCGCTTGTCATTAACATTGAGAATTCCTTGCACAAAGACTCGTTAGTAGCACTGAATATAATATCGTCTACATAAACTTGAACCAAAAGAATGTTATTGTTTTTACTCTTGATAAAAAGTGTAGTGTCAACCTTTCCCCTTTAGAAACCACTATCCAAAAGAAATTTACTCAACCGTTCGTACCATGCACAGGGTGCTTGTTTAAGACCGTAGAGCGCTTTCTTGAGTTTGAAGACATGGTCCGGAAACTCAAACTCTTCAAACCCCGGGGGCTGGTCAACATACACTTCCTCTTGAATAAAACCAATGAGGAAGGCACTCTTAACATCCATTTGATAAAGTTTAAAATCCATAGACGAAGCAAAAGCAAAAAGTAAACGAATAGCTTCGAAACGTGCTACAGGTGCATAAGTTTCTTCGAAATCAATGCCCTCTTCTTGATTGTAGCCTTTAGCTACGAGCCTAGCTTTGTTTCTAGTGATTATTCCATTTTCATCAAGTTTGTTCAGAACACCCATTTCGTACCAATAATCGTACGATCATCGGGCCTTGGCACCAATTCCCAAACGTCATTCCGTTTGAATTGGTCTAGCTCCTCTTGCATAGCCAAGGTCCAATGTTCATCGTTTATTGCTTCGGAAATGGTTGTAGGTTCAATTTGAGAAACAAAAGCCATGTGTCCTACAGTGTCTCTAAGTGAGTTACGAGTACTTACCTCGCGGTTGATGCTGCCGATTACCTGGTCAAGTGGATGATTCTTGTGCGTTCTCCAAGTGATGGGAAGCTCGGTTTCCTCTTGTTCCTGGGCTTCCTCTTGTTCTTCTTCGTCCGCATGGTCCTCATTTTTGACCATCACTTGAGGTGTTTCCACAGGTTGTGGTTGCGGGTTGGTGTATAATGGCGTGTCTTCCTCATCGTCTTCAATGTTTATCCTTTCAAGTGAGTCTGCAAGATCACAAATAGCCTTTCTCGCCAAGCGAGTATTATCTTCGGAAAACACAACATGAGGGGACTTCTCAATAGTCAAAGTACGTTTATTAAACACTCTATAGGCCTTGCTACGAAGTGAGTAACCGAGAAAAATCCCTTCGTCCGACTTGGCATCAAATTTTCCCAAGTTATCTTTGTCGTTATTATGAATAAAACATTTGCAACCAAAGACTCGAAGATGGGAAAGGTTTGGCTTTCTCCCTTTGTATAATTCATAGGGAATTTTCATGAGTATCGGTCGAATGACGGCTCGTATTAACACGTCGCTCACGGTACTCACGGCATCCGCCCAAAAATACTTAGGGATTTTTGCCTCATTGATCATAGTTCTAGCCATCTCTTCGAGACATCTATTTTTACGTCACACAAATCTGAAAATAGATTTCGTTCGAACTCTCCCCCATGGTCGCTTCTTATGGCTACTATGGTTGTTTCTTTTTCATTTTGAACTTTCTTTAGAAAATTTTTGAAAACATGAAATGCTTCACTTTTATGAGTATGAAACAAGGTCCATGTAAACCTAGAGTAGTCATCAACAATCACAAACAAAAAGTAGTTGCCACCAAAACTTTTCGTTCTAGAAGGACCAAAGAGATCCATGTGCAAAAGTTGAAGCGGTCTAGACGTTGAAACAACGTTCTTACACTTAAACGAGGCCTAAACTTGCTTCCCCTTTTGACATGCATCACATATAGTGTCTTTTTCAAACTTAAGTTTTGGAATGCCAATTACTAAGTCTTGTGAAACCAATTTGTTCAAAAGGTTCATGTTCATATGAGCTACCCTTCGGTGCCATAACCAAGTGTCTTCCTCTTTACTCATGAGGCACTTAGCAAAGCCGGAGGGAGATTTTTCTAAGTTAACCATATAAATGTTATCGATTCTATCACCACGTAGAATGACCTTATTGTCACTAAGGCGTTCTACCGTGCATGACTTTGAATCGAAGGTCACACGGTTTCCCCTGTCACATAATTGACTTATGCACAAGAGATTGTGTTTAAGACCTTTAACAAGAAAGACATTATCTATAGAGGATTTTTCAGATTTACCTACTGAACCAACGCCGATGATCTTTCCCTTGCTATTATCTCCAAAAACTACGTTTCCTCCTTTAGCAGGTTTGACTTGGATGCATCCCCGGTCATGTGCTTGGAGCATCCGCTATCAAGGTACGAAAGTACACTTGATGCCTTCAAGCATACCTATGAAACACATCAATGAGTTTTAGGTACCCAATTTACGTTGGGTCCTCGGGTGTTAGGTGTGTGATGGTAGTGTGCTTGATTTTGTGATAGGTGCATATGCCTAGTGTAGCAAACGGGAGCAATATGGCCTATCTTATTACAATAATGGCAAACTACATTGGGGTTGTACATATGCCTAGGTTCATAATAGTTCGAAGGCTTAACCATTTTGTTCCTATTTTGTGAAAACGATGGTTTTTGGAAATTTTGAAAATGGCCTTTTCTAGGTGTCCTAGCATTATTTTGTCTATTTGAAAAATTATTTTTATCCACAAAATCATTTTGATAATTTTTTCTAGGTTGTCTAGCATGCACATTTTCATTCCTAGGTTTTTGTCTAGGTTGTCTACTGTCCCTAGGTTAACTAGATTTTCTATTATCCTAATTTTTAACTTTCTTATGTTGAGCCTTATGAGGTTGTCTAGGTGTTTGCTCAACGTTTTTATCCTTAGATTTATTTTTATCAAAACCTATTCCTTCCTTAGAAAAATGCATAGTGTCAAGGAGTAAATTAAGATCTTTGTGTGGTGTATTAAACTTCTTAACCGTACTCTCAAGTTTTGCAACCTTTTCATTTAAGGTTTTGCAAGATTCACATTCACTTGAAAACTTTCTGGTTTGTCAGCGCTTCTTTTGCCATAAAATTTGTTTTCTTGTTTCAACCTATCATTATCTTTTTCCAGCTTTTCAAAATCATTTTCAAGGGTTAAAAGACGTTTCTTTAATGATTTATTGGTTTTAGAAGCGCTAACAAATTTGTCATAAAGCTCATGAAGTGCTTCTTGCATTTCTTCAAAAGTATAAGAGTCGGAAGAAATGGTACATACCTCTTGAATGTCGTCGGTTTGATCTTCATGCGCCATGAGGCAGAGGTTGGCGGCTTCCTCCTCTTCTTGATCAGTTGACTCGTCGCCGGAGTCGCCACCCCATGAGATATAGGCTCGTTGCTTTTTGAAGCCAGGTTTGTCCTTGCTGCTTTTGCCTTTTGGACATCTTGGCTAGATGTGGCCTATCTCGCCACAGCCATAGCACTTTGGGGGACCGTCGTGCTTTCTTCCTTTCCGTTCAAATTCCTTCTTCATGAATTTGTGGAATTTCTTGATGACGAGTCCGAACTCGTTGTCGTCATCGCTTGAAGCTTCTTCCATGGTCTCCTTGGTTGCTTTCAGCGCTATTCCCTTCTTCTTTTGTTCATCCAAAGATGGGGTTAGGATAGTAGATTCATAAGTTTTGAGATTACCTCTTAACCCGTCGATGGTGACATTTGAGACTCCGATGGATTCATAGATTGCATCTGCCTTTGATCTCCATTCGGGTGTGAGACTTCACAAGATTTTTCTCACAAGATCCTTGTTGGCGTAGGTCTTCTTGAGTGCATGAAGGTCGTTGATGATCTTTGAGAACCGATCGAACATGTTATCGATCTTTTCGCCTTCCTTCATTCTGAACATCTCATACTCCTGCGTTAGGAAGTCAATTTTGGCTTCCCGAACTTGGTCCGTACCTTCATATGTGACCTCCAGCTTGTCCCACATTTCTTTTGCAGTGGTGCAGCAAGAGATCTTGCGATAATCATTAGGATTGACGGCATAGTACAGCATGTTGATTGCCTTGGCGTAGTTCTCCACCTTTTTGATGTCCTCGGCATCAAATTCGTCCTCGGTTTTTGGGACTGTGGTTTCTCCTACTTTCTTCATTGGGATTTGCTCTCCATTTTTGATGACCAACCATAATTGGAAGTTGGTGGAACGGATATAGATTCTCATCCGTTCCTTCCAATAGGAATAGTTGGTGCCATCAAAGAGTGGTGGCCTAGACGTAGACTGACCTTCTCCAATTCCTACATAGAGATTTCTAGAAGAAGAACCCATGATCGCTTTACTCTCAAACGGTTAAGTTTGGACGCGAGTTAGGCTCTGATACCAATTGTTAGAATAAGTGACCAACGCTAGAGGGGGGGTGAATAGCGTTTGATCGTAGAAATCGCAGGAATTAAAAAATTAAAAGAGAAGTAAAGAGAAGAGTAAGAGGCACACCGAATTTTACCCTTGTTCACCACAACTTGTGGCTAATCCAGCCTCCCGAGAGACTCTCTCGAGCTACACTACTATCTCGTTAAGCTTGCGGGTGCTTAACAAACTGTTACAAGTTGAGAGTTCGAGTTACACGAACCTCAACGACTCCTTCAAAGGAAACAGCCCTTCCTTCGAATCTACCGAGAGAAATACTTTCTCTCAAAGTGTCTAAGAACACGAATACACTCAAGAACGAGGCTCTCTTATAGAGTAGATTATGAGTAAACTAAGTACGCTCAAGAACACAACACAAGCTTCAAAAAAATGGCTCTCCAAAAAAGCTATGAATAAAGAATGAGTGATTTGCAATGAAAGAGTAGGAGTTGTGAAGTCAATTGATATGTAAAACAGACCCAAACACCCCATTTTATAGTGGAAAAATAGGCTCCAACGGACCAAAACATTTAAGGGATGATTTACACAATTTGTGGGATTTGATTAAATTTGGATCTACTGAAATTCACCTAGACAGCGCTGTCCTAGGCTTGGACATCGCTGTTCTAGGCTTGCGTTTTGAAAAATGGGAAGCAACGGTCATGCCAACAGCGATGTCCAATACCCCTACATTGCTGTTTTGGCTGTTGACTTCCAAACAAGGAAAGTTTTGGCCTTAAATTCCTTCCAACGGTCAGGTCCCTACATCGAAGTTCAATACTAGAACATCATTGTTTAGGTCTGACTTTGAAGATGGAAGTTTGGCCTGACAGCGCTGTTTCTGGGTCAACATCGCTGTCCTGAAACTTTCTGCCAATGCACTATATTTTTGGCTTAGGTTGGACAGCGCTGTAGGGAAGCCTACATCGCTGTTCCAGAAGTTTCTGGAAATCCAACCTTGGCTCAACAACAATGTCTAGTGTGCAACATCGCTGTTGGAAGACTTAACGCCAAACCATGGTTTTCAGCTACTCAAGCTAGACAGCGATGTTGGTGCCCAACATCGCTGTTGGGCTAGTTTAGCCAGACCCATGGTTGGTTTAGTCATGCCGTTAGCCGATCTCAAAAACGTAAGTTCTCCAAAATAAAAACTAAGTGTTGAAAACATTTGTTTATTGCATTTTGCTAAGAAAGAAAGTAAAACAACTTAAAAAACCACGTCATTTAGTTGAAAACCACGGCTAACCCAGTTTGTGTCGTTTTGCATGGTTTTCACTAAACGACCATAACCGGAAGGTGGTTTTTGAAGTGTTTTTGTTGGAGAACTGTTTAAATATGCCCAGAAGTAAAAACCAATCATAAAAAGTTAAAAACCACTTGGTTGGTTCGGATGCCCAAAAACCAATGCCGAAAACCGAAACCCGAACGGCGGTTTCTGAAAGCCGAACGCCGGATGACTTGGTTTTTGGTTTGGGCGAACTCCAATTGTTTTTAGACAGGTTTAAAAACTTATGAAAAACATTTTTGAATTTGCAAAAAGTGTTTTGATGAATTGAGCCTAGAGAGCCAAGATTTGGAAGTTTGTGCCGGTCTTGATCACATTAAGACTGACTTGATCCAATTCTAATTCTTTGTTCTTGATTCTTGGTTCTTGGTTCACATGTCATCATGCCGTGTTTCTTTGCCTTGGTTTTGCTCACTTTATCCTTGTTGTGTCACGGCGGTTTGGCATTATCAAAATCTGTCACAAAAACGAACACAGTTTAGTACGACATAGGCGTAAACCCGTGTTCCAACATGGGACAAACTTGAAGTGACGTACGAAGGTACTGATCAAGTTCGTGAAGCCAAGATCGATTTTCTCACTCAAGAGTACGAAATGTTCCGAATGAAAGAAGGTGAGAAAATCGATGACATGTTCGACTGGTTCTCAAAAATCATCAACGACCTTCATGCTCTCAAAAAGACTTACGCCAACAAGGATCTCGTGAGGAAAATCCTGCGGAATCTCACACCCGAATGGAGGTCAAAAGCCGATGCAATCTACGATTCCATCGGAGTCTCCAATGTCACCATCGACGGGCTAAGAGGTAACCTCAAAACTTATGAATCTACTATTCTAACCCCGTCTTTGGATGAACAAAAGAAGAAAGGAATAGCACTCAAAGCAACCAAGGAGAACGTAGAGGAGGTTTCAAGCGATGATGACAATGAATTTGGACTTGTCATCAAGAAGTTCCACATGTTCATGAAAAAAGAATTTGAGCGGAAGGGAAGGAAGCACGACGGTCCTCCCAAGTGCTACGGCTGTGGCGAGATTGGTCACATCAAGCCAAGGTGTCCAAAAGTGAAACACAGCAAGGATAAGCCCGGCTTCAAGAAGCAAAGGGCTTACATCTCTTGGGGTGGCAATTCCGGCGATGAATCAACCGACCAAGAAGAGGACGAAGCTGCAAATTTCTGCCTCATGGCGCACAAAGATCAAAACGACGACGTCCAAGAGGTATGTACCATTTCTTCCGACTCCTATACTTTTGAAGAAATGCAAGAAGCACTTCATGAACTTTATGAGGAATTTGTTAGCGCTTCTAAAACAAATAAATCTTTGAAGAAACATCTTTCCTCACTTGAAAATGATTTTGAAAAATTGGAAAAAGAAAATGAAATACTTAAACAAGAAAACAATTTTTTTGGAAAAAGAAGCGCTGACAAACCAGAAAGCTCATCAAGTGAATGCGGGTCTTGTAAAACTTTAAAAGAGCAAGTCGCTAAACTTGAGAGCACGGTCAAGAAATTTAATACTCCTCACAAAGACTTAAATTTACTTCTTGACACTATGCATTTTTCTAAGGAAGGAATAGGTTTTGATAAAAATAAAGCTAAAGATAATGTTGAGCCACCACCTAGACAATCATCTAAGGTTCAACATAAGAAACCTAAAAATCAAGATAATAGAAAACCTAGTCAACCTAAGGACACTAGACAACCTAGACTAAAACCTAGGAACGAAAATGGTCATGGTAGACAACCTAAGAAAAATGATTTTGTGCATAAAAACGAATTTTCTCAAATTAGAAGAAATAATGCTAGAGCACCTAGAAAAGGCCAGTTTCAAAATTTTAAAAAACCATTGTTTTCACAAAATAGGAACAAAATGGTCAAACCCTCTAACTATTATGAACCTAGGCACATGTACAATCCTAATGTAGTTTGCCATTATTGTAATAGGATAGGCCATATTGCTCCCGTTTGTTACACTAGGCATAGGCACCTATCATAAAATCAAGCACACTACCATCACACACCTAACACCCGAGGACCAAACGTAAATTGGGTACCTCAAACTCATTGATGTGTTTTCGTAGGTGTCCTTTGGTACCTTGATAGCGAACGCTCCAAGCACATGACCAGGGATGCATCCAAGTTTCTCCAAATCAAACCCGTTAAAGGAGGAAACGTAGTTTTTGGAGATAATAGCAAGGGAAAAATTATCGGAATTGGTTCGGTAGGTAAATCTGAAAACTCCTCTATAGATAATGTCTTGCTTGTTAAAGGTCTTAAACACAATCTCTTGAGCATAAGTCAATTATGTGACAAGGGAAACCGTGTGACCTTCGATTCAAAATTATGCACGGTAGAACGCCTTAGTGACAAAAAGGTCATTCTACGTGGTGATAGAATCAATAACATATATATGGTTAACTTAGACAAATCTCCTTCCGACTTTGCTAAGTGCCTCATGAGTAAAGAGGAAGGGTAGCTCATATGAACATGAATCTTTTGAACAAATTGGTTTCACAAGACTTAATAATTGGCATTCCAAAACTTAAGTTTGAAAAAGACGCCATATGTGATGCATGTCAAAAAGGGAAGCAAGTTCGGGCTTCGTTTAAGTCTAAGAACGTTGTTTCAACGTCTAGACCGCTTCAACTTTTGCACATGGATCTTTTTGGTCCTTCTAGAACGAAAAGTTTTGTTGGCAATTACTTTGCGTTTGTGATTGTCGATGACTACTCTAGGTTTACATAGACCTTGTTTCTAACTCATAAAAGTGAGGCATTCCACGTTTTCAAAAATTCTCTAACGAAAGTTCAAAATGAAAAAGACACAACCATAGTAGCCATAAGAAGCGACCATGGGGGAGAGTTCGAACGAAATCTGTTTTCAGATTTGTGTGACGAACTTGGCATTGATCATAACTTCTCAGCCCCACGTACACCACGACAAAATGGAGTGGTGGAACGTAAAAATAGATGTCTCGAAGAGATGGCCAGAACTATGATCAATGAGGCAAAAATTCCTAAGTATTTGTGGGCGGATGCCGTGAGTACCGCGAGCTACGTGTTAAACCGAGCCGTCATTCGACCGATACTCATGAAAACGCCCTATGAATTATACAAAGGAAGAAAGCCAAACCTTTCCCATTTTCGAGTCTTTAGTTGCAAATGTTTTACTCATAATAACGGCAAAGATAACTTGGGAAAATTTGATGCCAAGTCGGACGAAGATATTTTTCTTGGTTATTCTCTACGTAGCAAGGCCTATAGAGTTTTTAATAAACGCACTTTGACTATTGAAGAATCCCCTCATGTTGTATTTTCCGAAGATAATGCTCGCTTGGCGAGAAAGGCTATTTGTGATGATCTTGTAGATTCACTCGAAAGATTACACGTTGAAGAAGATGAAGAAGACACGCCATTATACACCAACCCGCAACCACAACCTGTGGAAACACCTCAAGTGATGGTCGAAAATGAGGACCAAGCGGACGAAGAAGAACAAGAGGAAGCCCAGGAAGAAGAGGAAACCGAGCTTCCCATCGCTTGGAGAATGCACAGGAACCATCCACTTGACCAGGTAATCGGCAGCATCAACCGCGGGGTAAGTACTCGTAATTCTCTTAGGGACACCGTAGGTCACATGGCTTTTGTTTCTCAAATTGAACCTACAACGATTTCCGAAGCAATAAACGATGAACATTGGACCTTGGCTATGCAAGAGGAGCTAAACCAATTCAAACGGAATGACGTTTGGGAATTGGTGCCAAGGCCCGATGATCGTACGATTATTGGTACGAAATGGGTGTTCCGTAACAAACATGATGAAAATGGAATAATCACTAGAAACAAAGCTAGGCTCGTAGCTAAAGGCTACAATCAAGAAGAAGGCATTGATTTTGAAGAAACCTATGCACCCGTAGCACGTTTAGAAGCTATTCGTTTACATCTTGCTTTTGCTTCGTCTATGGATTTTAAACTTTATCAAATGGATGTTAAGAGTGACTTCCTCAATGGTTTTATTCAAGACGAAGTGTATGTTGACCAGCCCCCGGGGTTTGAAGACTTTGAGTTTCCCGATCATGTCTTCAAACTCAAGAAAGCGCTCTACGGTCTTAAACAAGCACCCCGTGCTTGGTACGAACGTTTGAGTAAATTTCTTTTGGATAGTGGTTTCCAAAGGGGAAAGGTAGACACCACACTTTTTATCAAGAGTAAAAACAATAACATCCTTTTGGTTCAAGTATCTGTAGACGATATTATATTCGGTGCTACTAATGAGTCCTTGTGCAAGGAATTCTCAACGCTAATGACTAGCGAATTTGAAATGTCAATGATGGGCGAGCTCACATTCTTTTTGGGACTCCAAGTCAAGCAAATGAAAGATGACACGTTCATTTGCCAAGCTAAGTATTGCAAGGAGCTCCTTAAACGATTTGAAATGGACAATGCCAAAGCCATGGCGACCCCAATGAGCATGTCTGACCATCTTGACAAAGACAAGAAAGGTATGGAAGTAGATGTCAAAAAGTATCGAGGTATGATCGGATCCCTTCTCCATCATACCGCTAGTAGGCCGGATATCATGTTTAGCGTATGCCTTTGCGCAAGGTATCAATCGTGTCTGAAGGAATCGCACTTAACAGCGGTAAAACGGATCATGAAATACCTTGCCGGCACGGTTAATGTTGGACTGTGGTATCCAAAAGGCTCTTCTTGTCATCTCATTGGCTATTCCGACTCGGACTTTTCCGGTTGCAAATTGGACCGTAAATGTACAAGTGGGACTTGCCACTTACTTGGTAGCTCTTTAGTTTCATGGTTTAGCAAGAAACAAGTCAGTGTTGCGTTATCCACAACCGAAGCGGAATATGTAGCCGCCGGTAGTTGTTGTGCTCAAATCCTTTGGATGAAGCAAAAACTCGTGGACTATGGCCTTAGTATCAATCACGTCCCTCTTCGTTGTGATAATACTAGCGCCATAAGCTTGACGAAGAACCCCGTTCTTCACTCAAAGACGAAACACATTGACATTAGGCATCATTTCATTAGAGATCATGTTCTCAAAGGTGATGTCGAAATTGAGTTTGTTGAAACACACAACCAATTAGCCGGTATTTTCACAAAACCTTTAGAGAAAGAGTCGTTCTTCCGCATTCAAAGTGAAATCGGAATCCTTGACTCCACGATGATCTAAGTTGTGCATCTAACCTTATTAAACGTTTACTAACTTGAGCGTCAGAGATTTTTTTTCTTTCTCTTGCAGGTACCCCGTTCATGAAATCAGGGGGAACCATGCAAACAACGCTGTCCAGGAGACCCAACAGCGCTGTTGATAGAAACACCGTCAACCAGAAAGTTTGCCAACAGCGTTGTACTACAGGCCAACATCGCTGTTACAGGGAGTCCTTTCATCCTCACTCTCCAGAAACTTTTTGAACATCGATGCCCTTTTTAAAAAAAACATCGTTGTCCACCCAAAACACCTTGTCTTTCAACCAAAACCAGAAACTTTTCAAACAGCGATGTCCCACTTTCAACATCGATGTCCATTTTTACAAATTTTTCTCTCCAATCGTAAAACAGCGATGTAGAGAAACCCAACAGCGCTGTTCTAATGGGTTCAAACCCTTACACATTTCCAGCAACTTTTGGAACATCGCTGTAGGTTACCCAACATCGCTGTCCATTTGGCACTTGTTTTTTTAAAAACTTGACGCACAACCGCGCTGTCCGGAGGCTCAACAGCGCCGTCTCAACAGTGATGTATCCTTTGGAACATCGCTGTTCTGGATAAATTTTTCAATAAAAAATATCCGTTGGCACCTGCATTAATTGCTCCAACAGCCATATTTTTAAAATTCTGGACGTTGGGAACCTCTTTTTCTATAAATTGGGACCCCCTATCTTCACTTTTACACACACAAACACAAATTCCTTCAATATCTTTACATATTTCATCTTCTCTACTCTAACCTTTTTGAGATTTCTTCACCATGGGAAAAGATAAGAGCAGGGCTGCCACCTCCGGGAAATCAAAGTCCTAATCCCGGGTGCCTACGACATCCTCCGAGGAACGCCTCTACTACAGCGATGGGTCGTACCTCTAGTTCGATTCCGAGGAGGAGCGCACCCGCTTTCTCACTTTCTTCTCTAAACGGGTTGTGGCTCCCTCACGGATCGTCCCGGAGCGCTTCCCGGAGCTGCAGGGCTACGACGACCTCGACGCGCAGCTTCATCAAGCCGGCCTTTGGCCATTCGTCTCCCGGGCTCGGAAGGAGATCAACCCGGCGCTGATTCGGGTCTTCTACTCCAACCTCCGGCGTGAGGGCGACGTGCTCTACTCTCTTGTCAAGAGCACGCCGATAGAGCTTCGGTTGAGCAGCTTGGGCGCATCGCCGACCTCCACTACCAAGGCGATGACGTCTCCCAATATGGCGGAGAGGACAGGGTGCTCAACAACGAGGGCCTTATCCTCACTGAGCTTGGCATCACCGAGCTTATCCTCCATGCCTCGGGCCACCCCACCTTCCACTCTGCAAACCCCGAGAGCCGGCTTCTTCTCTACATCATGTCCCGAATCATCAAGCCCCAGAAGCATGGGCACACGATCATGTCCGGTGAGGACCTCAAGCTCCTCCCGGCGATCATGCACTCGGCGCCAATCAATTGGGCAAAGTTTGTCATGATCAACATGACGATTGCCGCATCCACCGACCACGATCACCTCCTCCCGTAGCCGTTCGTGGTGATGGACATCCTTGAACGGTTCAAGGTGACCACCACAGTTGGCCCACTCACGAAGGCCACGAAGATTTGGGCGATCAGCACCCAGACCTTCAAGAAGCGGTCAGACAATGCCGGACCTGCCACTGCCACTCCCGCGCCACGGCGTCGTTCGGCTGCTGGCCCAGCCGAACCCCAGGCCCGGGCCAAATTTGCCTCCATCGCCGAATCCCTCAACCGGCTACACTTCAAAGTTGACGGGATGGATGGCTACCTTGAGAGGCTTGACGAGGCGGTCCAACGCAAAGGGTACGCCATGAACGCGTACTTTCAACGCGTTAACAACGTCCCCCCACCGTACCATGGCACGTTCTTTGGGCAAGTGTACGGTGACGAGGACGAAGACGATGCCTCCTATGCCCCGTCAAGCTCTCCGGACGAAGATGAGTTCGACGATGCCATCGATGGGGATGAGATGGACATCGACGACGACAAAGAAACCGGAGGCGAAGAGGAGGAAGACGAAGACTAGGCCACCTCTAGCATTTTCTATCTCTTTTTATTGTCATTTCTTTTACTCGCATCCGTTGTACTCCATTTTAATAAATAAAAGGCATCTTTAATCTTTTTGTTAATGTCAAAAGGGGGAAGAAAAGGGCTATGCATATACTAAGGGGGAACGTCTCTAAAAACGGGATCGTTTGATTTTAATATGACAATTTTTAAAGCACAAATTAAGGGGGAATTTTTTCATACTTTTCAAAGTCAAATATGACTTAATATGCATATCCCCGTCTTTTTTGCCATTATCAAAAAGGGGGAAATTGTTGGAACACGGGTTTACGCCTATGTCGTACTAAACCGTGTTCGTTTTATGACAGCCTTTGATCATGCCAAACCGCCGTGACACAACAAGGCTAAAGTGAGAAAAACCCAAGCGAAGAAACATGGCATGATGACATGAGAACCAAGAACCAAGAATCAAGAACAAAGAATTAGAATTGCATTGAGTCGGTCCTAATGTGATCAAGACCGACACAAACTTCCAAATCTTGGCTCTCTAGGCTCAATTCATCAAAACCCTTTTTGCAAATTCAATAATTTTTTCATAAGTTGTTAAACATGGCTAAAAACACATGGAGTTCGCCCAAACCAAAAACCAAGTCATCCGGCGTTCGGCTTTCAGAAACCGGCGTTCGGCTTTCGATTTTCGGCATTGGTTTTTGGCATCCGAACCAACCAAGTGGTTTTCACCTTTTTATGATTGTTTTTTACTTCTGGGCATATTTAAATAGTTCTCCAACAAAAACGCTTCAAAAACCACCTTTCGTTTTTGGTTGTTTAGTGAAAACCATGCAAAACGGAGTAAACTTGGCTAGCCGTGGTTTTCAACTAAATGACTTGGTATTCAAAATGTTTTACTTGATTTCTTAGCAAAATGCATTATACAAACATTTTCAATACTCGGTTTTTATTTTTGGAGAACTTACTTTTTTGACATCGGCTAACGGCTGACTAAACCAACCATGGGTCTGGCTAAACCAGCCCAACAGCGATGTTGGTGCTACCAACAGCGCTGTCTGGCTTGAGTAGCTGAAAACCATGGTTTGGCGTTAAGTCTTCTAACAGCGATGTTGCATATTAGACATCGCTGTTGAACCAAGGTTGGGTTTCCAGAAACATTTGGAACAACGATGTAGCCTTCCCTACAGCGCTGTCCAACCTAAGCCAAAAATATAGTGCATTGGCAGAAAGTTTTTTGACAGTGATGTTGACCCAGCAACAGCGCTGTCAGGCCAAATTGAGGTGGAAGTTTCAGTCTGGATTTGTCGCTACAAGTTCATAACTTGTAGCTACATCCCTGGACTGGCAACCTTCCTTAAATTCCGATTTTGAAAGGAACAAACCTTCAGTTGTCGGTTTTGTCGCTACATCCTCATAACCTGTAGCGACAACCGTACTGGCAACGAAGGGTTATTTCAAAACGCAAGCCTAGAACAACGATGTCCAAGCCTAGGACAGCGCTGTCTGGGTGAATTTCAGCAGATCCAAATTTAATCAAATCCCATAAATTGTGCCAATCACCCCTTAAATGTTTTTGATCCGTTGGAGCCTATTTTTCCACTATAAAATGGGGTGTTTGGGTCTGTTTTACACAACACATCACTTCACAATCTCTACTCCTTCATTGCAAATCATTCATCCTTTATTCATAGCTTTTTGAGAAGCCATTTTTGTGAAGCTTGTGTTGTGTTCTTGAGCGTTCTTAGTTACTCAATTATCCACTCTAAATGATAGTATTGTTCTTGAGTGTTTTTAGTGTTCTTAGACACTTGACAAGAGAAAGTATTTCTCTTGTTGTTCGAAGGAAGGATTGTTTCCTTCGAAGGTTCGTTGAGGTTCGTGTGACTCAAATTCTCAAGTTGTACGGGTTTGCTAAGCACCGTTAAGCTTAACGAGATAGTAGTGTAGCTCGAGAGAGTCTCTCGGGAGGCTGGATTAGCCACAAGTTGTGGTGAACCAGGGTAAAATCGGTGTGCCTCTTTATTTTCTCTTTACTTCTCGTTTATTCATTTTTATTCCTGCGATTTCTTGATCAAACGCTCTTAGAATAAGTGACCAACGCTAGAGGGGGGGTGAATAGCGTTTGATCGTAGAAATCGCAGGAATAAAAAAACTTAAAAGAGAAAAAAAGAGAAGAGTAAGAGGCACACCGAATTTTACCCTGGTTCACCACAACTTGTGGCTAATCCAGCCTCCCGAGAGACTCTCTCGAACTACACTACTTTCGTTAAGCTTACGGGTGCTTAACAAACCGTTACAACCTGAGAACTCGAGTCCCACGAGCCTCAACAACACTTGCTCGGAGATACCGCACTCCAAGACTTCAACCCGAAGGAAAATACCTTTCCTTCGTACAACCAAGGGAAACAAGCTTCCCTTAACATGTATACAACACTAAGACACTCAAGAACAGGGCTCTCTTTTAGAGTAGATGTTGAGTAAACTATATACGCTCAAGAACAACTCAAACTTCACAAATTGGCTCTAGAAAGCTATGAAAAATGATGTTGTTTTAATGCAATGATGATATGAATATTGTGAAGTGAATTGATGAGAAAAGCAGACCCAAACACCCCTTTTTATAGTGCCCAAATAGGCTCCAACGGACCAATGCATTAAAGGGGTGATTGGCTTGATTTAAGGGATTGAATAAATTTGGGATCTGCAGGACATTGGCTTCCCATCGATGTTTGGAACTTACCCATCGCTGGTAAGCCAATTTTCCTTCAGTTTTGAAGCCAACGGTTACCTACCCATCGATGGGTACACGCTTCCCATCGCTGGGTGGGAGGTTGACTTCCAAACAAGGAAAGAATCAACCTTAAATGACTTCCAACGGTCATTCCTTCCCATCGATGGTTTAGCCTTCCCATCGCTGGGTTCCCATCGATGGGTAAAGCTTCCCATCGCTGGGTAAGGGGATTCTGCCTTGTGATAATGTTGGACCAAGGCTTGAACAGCGATGGGTAGAGCTTCCCATCGCTGTTTGACATGGTTCTGGAAGTTGGTTTGGCTAAGGGGCTACTTACCCATCGATGGGATGTTCTTCCCATCGCTGGGTGGGTGGTTAGCCAAAAACCTATTGTTTTTGCCTTAACTACGGCCTAGCCAACCGATGCAAAAACGGACCGAAAAATCCAAAGTTCTCCAAAATAAAAACCAAGTGTTTAAAACACTTATTTGATGTATTTGGCTAAGAAATCAAGTGAGACACTTTAAAAATCACGTCATTTGAGTAAATACCACGGCTAGCCATGTTTACGCCGTTTTGCGTGGTTGTTGTCAAACGACTAAAAGCGAGAGATGGTTTTCAAAGTGTTTTTGTTGGAGAACCGTTTAAACATGCCAAAGAGTGAAAGAAAATCATAAAATGCTGAAAACCACTTGGTTGGTTCGGATGCCAAAAACCAAACCCGACAACCGAAAGCCGAACGCTGGTTTTTGAAAGCCGAACACTGGATGGCTTGGTTTTTGGTTTGGGCGAACACCAAGTGCTTTTAATGACTTAAACAAGTTTGAAAAACATTTTTATGATGTAAGAAATGCAATGAGAGGTTTTAGCCTAAAGAGCCAAGGTGTAAAGATTGGGTCGGTCTTGATCACAATAAAGACCGACTCAATACTATGATTAAGGTCTTCGTTCTTGGTCTTCGTTTAGATCTTGCTCTTATCTTCGTTCTTCGCCTTGTATATTCAATGTTCGACTTTATCACGGCGGTTTGGCATTATCAAAACCTGTTACAAAAACGAACACGGCTTTAGTACGAAAACGTGACAAGCCCGTGTTTCAACAATTTCCCCCTTTTTGATAATGGCAAACGAGGCGAGGTTATGCATAGGAGGATTATTTTGAAAAAAAATGTTCCCCCTTAATAGATGCCATTTTACAAAGTAAAAAAAATTCCCCCTCAATTTATGCATAACCTTAATATCTTCCCCCTTTTGACATTAACAAAAAGAATTAAAAGTAACCTTTAGAACTGTAAAAGTAAACTTTTATTCATGAAAAAGGGAAATGCGGAATACAACGGAATGGAAATAAAAAATACAATCATAGTAAGAAGAGAAAAGAAAAGTCTAAGCATCGGCGTCCTCGACGTCCATGGGATCGCCGTCGACCGCATCTTCAAAGTCGGCCTCGTCGAAGGAGGAGGAAGGAGCATAGGAGTTATCCTCCTCGTCCTCGCCTTCATAGTTTTGGCCGAGGAAGGTGCTGTCAAAGGGCGGCGGGACGTATTTGATGCCGCAAAAGAACGCCTTCATGTCGTGGTGTTGGCGTTGCAGCGTCCAGTCCATCCGCTCGATTGACTGCCCCATGCCATGCACTGTGAGGGTTAGGCGATTCAGAGTATCGGCTATGGATTGCAAAGAGGCCTTGGCGGGAGCGGGGGCTGGTGCACGACTTGGGCCTGCGCCGTCCCGGTCTCCGGACTTCTTCGGGAAGGTGCTGTCTTGAATTATCCAAATCTTTGTCATCTTCGTATCCGGGCCGGCGATGGAGATGTCGGCGGAGATGATGAGGTCCATGACAAGGAAGGCGTATGGCAAGCTCCGCTCAGTGGCGATGGAGGCGCAATCCGCCATGTGGATCATCACGAATTTCGCCCAATTGATGGAGGCGCCGTGGATGATGGCGTGAATCGCCTTCAAGTCCTTGTTGAAGAGCGAGGTATGGCTGCTGTCCCGGGGGCGGAGAATCCGGGTGATGATGTAGAGGAGGAGGCGCTTGTCCGGTGGGGCCGAGTGAATCGTCGGTGCGCCGTTGTGGCGGATCAAGTTGGTGATCCCAAGCTCACGAATGACGACCGCCTCGTTGTTGAGGATCCAATCGTCGCCACCATAAGTTGCGATGTCGTCACCGCGGATGGGCAGCCCTGCGACCCGAGCAAAGGTAGGCAAATCAATCTCTATGTCGTAGAGATTGATGCTGCTGCGAATGGTGTCCCCGTCACGGCGGAGATTGGAGTAGAAAGCCTGGACGAAGGCGGGATTGAAGCTCGAGCGGCTCTTGGAGACGAATGGCCACAAACCCGATGCTTGGAGTTGGTTGTCGAAATCGTGGTACCCTTTGTCTTGGGGAAACAACTCCGGGAGCACGCGAGGTGGAGAGATCGGGCGCTTGGCAAAGTGAGTGAGGAAGCGTGTGAGTTCTTCCTCCGACCCGAATTCGAGGAAGGATCCATCCAGGTACGGAAAGGGTTGAGGTGCAGAGGTTGTGGCCTCAGTAGGGCCTTTCTTCTTCGATGCCTTTGACTTTGATCTTCCTCCGGCCATAGTTGTGGCGTTTTTGAAGAAAAAAAGGAGATGAAATATTGAGATTTGGATCAAGGAATGAAATTATGATGTTAATGGTGTATTAAAATGAGCAAATATGAGGGATATATATAGGGAATGGGAGATTAGGCCGTTTGGATTCAAAAATATAGCTGTTGGGCAATTAATGTGGTGCCCAACGGCTCTGAATTTTTGAAATGCAGATGCCTTCCCAGCGATGGTAGGATCTACCCATCGGTGGGAAGGTCGCCACTGGAAAGCGAGGAAGAACCCAAGGCTGCCTTCCCAGCGATGTTTGGATTTTCCCATCGATGGGAAGGTGGCTTCTGGAAATTGACGAAGAAAAGAACATGGCCTCCCCAGCGATGTTAATACCATCCCATCGCTGGTTTGGTAGTTTTGAAAATCCGTTAAAAAATTTTAAAAAATAGTGTCAAACACCAAGCGATGGGAGGAACTTCCCATCGATGGGTTGGGAGGTTCTGAAACAAAAGCAAGCACTCACCCAGCGATGGGATAAACTACCCATCGATGGGTAAAGGTGTTCTGGAAATCTGTTAACCATTTTAAAAAAATAGAGTCAATAACCCATCGATGGGAAGAGGGGTTTTGAAAGCAAGAAGCTTCCCTCCCAGCGATGGTATAACCCACCCATCGCTGGTTCCCCCTGACTTCCGGATTTCTTCGCTTTGGACCGTCCCTACAAAAAAGAACAGCACTTTGGTACCCAAAGTAAGTCTATGGGTCCTTGGGGGTTAGTTTACCTTTATTGCCCACACACACACCCAAAATATGTTTCCATATGCGCACACACACACATACACGATTAAATGATTGTTTAGGAGTTACCTTGGCCAACCCATCGTCTCGTGGTTGGCGGGTTCCAATCTACCTGAACAGAGTGCCAATATCTCGGTGTGATTTGTGTCGGTTCCGGTAACGGAATGTGGACATTCTTCTTTTCGTCAAAGTAGAAGAAATAATAAGGTTTCTTTTGTGCATTGTCCTGTGGAGATTGTTTATGATTTGAATATCCTTTTCCAAAGGATTTCTTTTCATTAGCACCAAATACGTTGTGTGTTTCATTGTAGGTGAAGTGCCTATGTCTGGTGAAACACACGGGAGCTNTATGTCCTACCCTATTGCAATAGTGGCATACTACGTTTGGGTTGAACATGTGCCTAGGTTGATAATAGCTAGGGGGCCTAACCATATTCATCCTATTTTGGGAAAATATTGGTTTTTGAAAACTCTCTCTTCTAGGTGTTCTAGCATTATTTTGTCTATTTGAAAAATTAATTTTATGCACAAAATCATTTTGATAGTTTTTCTTGGGTTGTCTAGCATGCACATTTTCATTCCTAGGCTTTTGTCTAGGTTGTCTAGTGTCCTTAGATTGACTAGATTTTCTATTATCCTGATTTTTACTTTTCTTATGTTGAGCCTTAGAAGGTTGTCTAGGTGTTTGCTCAACGTTTTTATCCTTAGATTCATTTTTATCAAAACCTATTCCTTCTTTAGAAAAATGCATGGTGTCAAGGAGTAAATTAAGATTTTTGTGCGGAGTATTAAATTTCTTAACCGTACTCTCAAGTTTAGTGACTTATTCCTTTAAAACTTTACAAGATTCACATTCGTTTGAGGAACTTTCCGGTTTGTTGGCGCTTCTTTTGCCATAAAATTTATTTTCTTGTTTCAACTTCTCATTATCTTTTTCCAACTTTCCAAAATCATTTTTAGGAGTTGACAGGCGTTTCTTTAACGATTTGTTGAGTTTGGAAGCGCTAACAAATTCATCATAAAGTTCGTGAAGTGCTTCTTGCATTTCTTCAAAATTGTAAGAGTCGGAAGAAATGGTACATACCTCTTGTACATTGTCGGTTTGGTCTTCGTGTGCCATGAGACAAAGGTTGGCAACTTCATCCTCATCTTGGTCGGTTGACTCGTCGCCGGAGTCTCCACCACAAGAGATATACGCCCTTTTCCTTTTGAAGTGTCGAGCATTCCTTTCGCTTTTCGGGCATTTGTTCTTGATGTGCCCGGCTTCTCCACATCCATAGCACACAGGGCCATCCTCAACCTTTTCTTTCTTTCTTAGAAGTTTGCAGAACTTCTTCATGACAAGCTTGACTTCATCATCGTCACTTGAATCATCCATCGTTGATTCTTTGACGGCTTTTAGTGTTATCCCTTTCCTTTGGTCATTCAAAGACGGATTAAGAATAGTCGATTCATAGGTTTTTAGATTACCTCTTAGGCCATCGATGGTGACATTTGATGTGCCGATTGATTCATAGATGGCATCGGCCTTGGATCGCCATTCGGATGTCAAGCTCCGTAGGATCTTTCGCACAAAATCCCTGTTGGTGTACGTCTTCTTTAATGCATGAAGATCGTTGACTATTTTGGAGAAACGGTCGAACATATCGTCAATCTTCTCGTGCTCCTTCATCCTGAACATCTCGTACTCCTGCGTTAGGAAGTCAATTTTGGCTTCCCGAACTTGGTCCGTACCTTCATATGTGACTTCCAGCTTGTCCCACATTTCTTTTGCCGTGGTGCAGCAAGAGATCTTGCGATAATCATCAGGATTGACCGCACAGTACAGCATGTTGATTGCCTTGGCGTAGTTCTCCACTTTTTTGATGTCTTCGGCATCAAATTCGTCTTCGGTCTTTGGAACGAGTTTTTCATCGACCTTCTTCATTGGCGTTTCTTTGCCATTTTTGATGACCAACCACAACTGGAAGTTGGTTGAGCGGATATAAATTCTCATCCGCTCTTTCCAATATGTGTAGTTGGTGCCATCAAAAAGCGGTGGCCTAGATGTTAATTGACATTCTCCAATTCCTGCATAAAGATTTCTAGAAGAAGAACCCATGATCGCTTTACTCTCAAACGGTTATGTTTAGACGCGAGTTAGGCTCTGATACCAATTGTTAGAATAAGTGACCAACGCTAGAGGGGGGGTGAATAGCGTTTGATCGTAGAAATCGCAGGAACTTAAAAGAGAAGTAAAGAGAAGAGTAAGAGGCACACCAAATTTTACCCTGGTTCACCATAACTTGTGGCTAATCCAGCCTCCCGAGAGACTCTCTCGAGCTACACTACTTCCGTTAAGCTTACGGGTGCTTAACAAACCGTTACAACTTGAGAACTCGAGTCCCACGAGCCTCAACAACACTTGCTCGGAGATACCGCACTCCAAGACTTCAACCCGAAGGAAAATACCTTTCCTTCGTACAACCAAGGGAAACAAGCTTCCCTTAACGTGTATACAACACTAAGACACTCAAGAACAAGGCTCTCGTTTAGAGTAGATGTTGAGTAAACTATATACGCTCAAGAACAACTCAAACTTCACAAATTGGCTCTAGAAAGCTATGAAAAATGATGTTGTTTTAATGCAATGATGATATGAATATTGTGAAGTGAATTGATGAGAAAAGCAGACCCAAACACCCCTTTTTAGAGTGCCAAAATAGGCTCCAACGGACCAATGCATTAAAGGGGTGATTGGCTTGATTTAAGGGATTGAATAAATTTGGGATCTGCAGGATATTGGCTTCCCATCGATGTTTGGAACTTACCCATCGCTGGTAAGCCAATTTTCCTTCAGTTTTGAAGCCAACGGTTACCTACCCATCGATGGGTACACGCTTCCCATCGCTGGGTGGGAGGTTGACTTCCAAACAAGGAAAGAATCAACCTTAAATGACTTCCACCGGTCATGCCTTCCCATCGATGGTTTAGCCTTCCCATCGCTGGGTAAGGGCATTCTGCCTTGTGATAATGTTGGACCAAGGCTTGAACAGCGATGGGTAGAGCTTCCCATCGTTGTTTGGCATGGTTCTGGAAGTTGGTTTGGCTAAGGGGCTACTTACCCATCGATGGGATGTTCTTCCCATCGCTGAGTGGGTGGTTAGCCAAAAACCTATTCTTTTTGCCTTAACCACGGCCTAGCCAACCGATGCAAAAACCGACCGAAAAATCCAAAGTTCTCCAAAATAAAAACCAAGTGTTTAAAACACTTATTTGATGTATTTGGCTAAGAAATCAAGTGAGACACTTTAAAAATCACGTCATTTGAGTAAATACCACGGCTAGCCATGTTTACGCCGTTTTGCGTGGTTTTTGTCAAACGACTAAAAGCGAGAGATGGTTTTCAAAGTGTTTTTGTTGGAGAACCGTTTAAACATGCCAAGGAGTCAAAGTAGATCATGAAATGCTGAAAACCATTTGGTTGGTTCGGATGCCTAAAACCAAACCCGACAACCGAAAGCCGAACGCTGGTTTCTGAAAGCCGAACACTGGATGGCTTGGTTTTTGGTTTGGGCGAACACCAAGTGTTTTTAATGACTTAAACAAGTTTGAAAAACATTTTTATGATGTAAGAAATGCAATGAGAGGTTTTAGCCTAAAGAGCCAAGGTGTAAAGATTGGGTCGGTCTTGATCACAATAAAGACCAACTCAATACTATGATTAAGGTCTTCGTTCTTGGTCTTCGTTTAGCTCTTGCTCTTATCTTCGTTCTTCGTTTAGCGACATTTTCTTGATTCAAAATTCAATTCGTCAACTAATCAAGGTGAGTCGTGGTTCATATATCCATCGTTAGGATTAACTCGTACATTACAACTCCATTCGTGTATATTCTGGAAATTGAATGTGAAATTTGTCGATTGGTTATTTATTAGGTTGAGTTGGCTTAGAGAGACTTTTTCTGTTTGGGTTTTTTAGCCATCTAATCTGTTTCCGACGAGCTGCCAGCTCTATTGGGGCTTAGCAGTAACTCTATTGGGGTTGATCAGTTGGGTCGCTGGGATGGTCCCAATAGGAGGTAAGGCTAAGGCTAGCAGCGACAATGTACTTTTCCAGCAGGACAACTAGTTCGGGATTGAATTCTCAGTCTCGATTTTTCATTGTGATTGTTTGACAGGTAATTTAAATCAATTTTATTTTTTGTTACATTAAATTGATTATGCATAAAGGTAGATAGGCAGGCTATTGGGTCCCCGATAAGACGCTATTTGATATGATTGCTTCCTTGAATTGAGACATAAATTAAGTTGAGTTATTGTT